TTTTAAACACGCTTCGTACAAAACCGGGCGATAGGGGCCTATTTCTGATCTCACGGCCCGGGGAAGAGCTCTCCTGCGGCTCGAGGAATTAACCCCGTGTAAATGGGTTCAGGATCTGCCTCCTGACGGGGATTTTACTTGGCAGTAGCCTGTAAAGACAAAATATCCGGGGGGGTGAGGTGGGGGGGGTGGGGAGTGGAGTCGAGTGGGGGAACCTCTGACAGTCCTATTCCAGCTTCCAGTGCCAGTGTTAACTCCGTAAGAAGATGCTTACAGAACTGTAAGGTCTTCACCACCACCGGCCACAGACCTTTACTAGCGCTACGCCCACCGAAGAGAAGCCCTCTGCGGAACAGACCGTGGGGTGCGCGGCGGTGGTGTAGTCCCTTGCCTCCGGCCCCGCTCCGGCCCTTCTCTAGGGGGAGAGGGACTCCTTCGAAACACGTGCTCCTAAATGGAAACCTTTTTCCTTTCCTCCATAAAACACCTGAAAACCCGCCCTTGAGACCCATGGAAACACACTGAGGAAGGCTGATCAGCCGGTGCGAGGGGTGCTACTCGCCAGTACGGAACGGAGAGGGAAGGGCAGAAGGAATGGCCTTGACTCCACCGCCCCCTCTCCCCCCTTGCATCAGTTTGTCTTTCAGTTGTTCAAAATGATTGAGTTTTTTGAAGAAGGCCCTTTAGAGCGAGAACAAAACCAGCAACAGCCTGCTTCCCCAAAAACAGCATGAATATCAACCTGTCCACTGGCAGGGCTTCAGAGCTCAGAGGCGTTGCAATAAAATTTACGGCGTCCTTAACAACTCCCAAGTAAAAGCATTAAAATTCCCTTTAATTGAGAAAACATTGATTTTTAACTTTGGAAAGAAACTAACCCGTAATTTAATTGCAAACTTTCACCGACAGAGCAGCATCTCAGGGAGGCCACATTCCATCTTTAATAGAGCCACTTTATGAAGTGATAAAAACAAAGAAAACCTGACAGAGACAGTTGCAACTGCGAAAGAAAAGTTATTTCCCTGCCCTTTCTCTCTTCGCAGCTCCAAACTATAGTAGTCTTCCATCCTCCTTCACACCCCACCCCTGATAACAAAATACAAGTATAAAAGAGAAGGATTTGGGATTCAGGGGAGAAGAGGTTGTTCGTATTTTAAATAACGATTTGCCTTTACCAGGCAAGGGGTAATGGCAAGAGGTTGGAGAGGACAGTGTCACAAAATGGTATCCTCTTTCTTTTTTTTCTTTTCTCCCCCCCCCCCTCCTTTTTTCTTTTCTTCTTTTCTTTCTTTTTTTTTTTTTTTTTCCTTAAAAAAGCCCCCAAACCTAATCGGATAGAATTTCCTTACTTTCCCTTGTTCGTTGCAAAAATCATCTCTAAAGGGAAGAGAAAGGGAAATCTCACCCTCCCTATCTTATTTCTGTATCGGTTTTTGGTATTATAGGAGAGTAAAGAAGTTTTTGTTTGGTGGTTTTTCATTGATCAGTCACTCTGAGCTAATGTAATTATCCTCATCAATAGAACGCTGCAGAGAGAATCATTATGTGGGTGACATTGATAAATGATCACCCAAGAGTTGCCTTTTCTCTCGGGCACCCCCACATATGACCCTCCCACATACACAAGGTAGCCATAGAAACACCTTGAGATCCTCAAACACTGCTGCAAATGGGAGAACACTGAGAAAGCGACAGAAATACAACTTCACGCACTTTCTATCCCTGCTGCAGCCTCATACCCCGAGCAAGGAGCCACCGAGACGGGCTCCGCGCCCCGCCGCCCGGCCCCGCGCCCTCCCATGGCACCACAGTCAGTTTGGGGGGATGGGGACCGTCCTATGGGGCTTCCTTCCTTTTTTCCCCCTCTCTCCTCCTATTTTTCCTTCTCTGGGAGTTGAGCGCTGAGGTTACGCGCACCGCTTGGGTGCACTGCTCCTTACACCCACTGTGGAACCCCCTAGTTGGAAAGTCGCTCATGGAGATGGGCATCTACAACATTCACCCCCTCCCCGGGAACGGCGGCTCTTAGGAAATGATTAAACCTGAATTATTAGCAGCATTTTTTATTTTTTTCTTTTTTTTTAGTTGCAGGACTGTACAAGGCACCTCTTGCTAAGGCAAAAAATAACGATTTTTTTCCTTTTTTTTTTTTTTTTTTCCCAGCCGCAGACCCCGTTTTATGTAAGCAGATTCTAAAATATTGAGAACAGTAATTGATTCATAGTGATCCATGAATCGATGAGAGGAAGGGGGTGAGGGTGTTTATTTATTTTATTCCTAAAGCTGCAAGGAAAGTAGCTCTGACACCGTGCGGGGACGAAGGGGAGGAGTTGTTTGGCTGTGCGGGGTCATCCATCATCACTGTCGCAGAGACTCTGCCCAGAGGAGCAACCTCCCTTCTGTCTCTTTCTTGCTACCAAAACTATTAATATTAAAATCTGCCTTCAAACCTTCCCCCCCACACATACACAAACCCCCTATTCTCTGCTGTCCCGCCCTCCCGAACTCGCCCCGTCCCGCTCCGCCCGGTGATGCCTGCTTCTCCCTCCCGCACCGCCAGCGGGTTTTGTCTCCCCGAAGCTCTGTCAGCAGGTTCCAAAACCAGCCCCGCGTCTCCTGGACCGAACCCAGGGCCCTGCGGGTCTGAGACCCTCGGTCCCACCGCGCCACTCCTGGGGAAAAGGCTTGGGCATTTCCTGGGCTGAACGGGTTCTCGTCCCAGTGCACGCCGCGAGGGGCAAGCGGGCTGCTGCCTCCGAATCACCCCCCTCCGAGGCGCCGCCGGGAGATCCTCTCTCCCCTCCGGAAGCCCCGGGAACCGCTGGCACGATGGGCGAAACCAACCGGCGGCACCGGCTGGGCGGAAGGTTCCGTGCGCTGCCTCCGCCGCAGCCCCTTCCCACACCCGGCCCCTACCCCCGGCCCCGCAAACCTGGTCTGGGGCACTTTTCTCTGCCTGGCTTCCTCTGCGGCTATGAGCGAGGGGAAGCGCCAGACTCCCGGGCATCTCCTCTTCGGCCCCGCGGTGCCCGCTGGCCGCGGCGTGCAGGGCTCGGGCGGGCGCGCTGGCGGAGGTGCGCTCCCCTCCTCTCTTCGCCTGAAAGGCAGGAAAATCTGGAAGAAAAATCCCTCGTTTGTGGTGGCTACAGCTCCCGGCCCAGACCCGCTCGGAGAAATGGAAATTTGGGATTATAAACATGTGTGTGTGTAAACAAAAGGTGTTTCTTCTGTTACCCCTCTTTTCCCACATCATAAGCAATTTTTATTCAGACTAGAGTATTTTCTTTAACACTATACCGCTGTCAAAACATTATTCCCGTTTTGTTTGCTTTTGACAGCTGAGCAGTTCTTAAAAATACCAAAATCGGAACCTTCCATGCTAAACAGTAAATCTCAGATGGAGAAATCTCTGCACGTTATTGTACCTTGGGTTTCAGCAACACATCTCGTGGAGAGCACAGCCCGGGGGGGGGGGGCGGGGGGGCGGGGGGGGGGGGGGGGTGCGGAGAAAGGAAAGAAAATAAAAGACAACACAGCAATCCAAATATTCAGTTCATTATAAAGAAAAACAATACTGTAATGTGGATAAATTCTTCCCTGTCCTTCTACCAGGGCAAGGACGTTTTCTGACATTTCTCCTCAAATTGTAAAGAAAAGATCTGCAAGGAAATAAAGTATTGATTAAAAAAACTAATAAAATAGAAAAGCTTCCCTTTGCAAGTGCCAACACAAACATTCTCGCCTTCGTATTTTCTGCATCCCAAGAATCAGAGAATTTGGAAATGGGAAACTGGGGTGTGCTCCTCTTTTACGCATCTGAGGGGTCATCATGATTTTAACCAGCATCAAAGACAAGCGGGTAATTATAACCAAAATTTCATACGGGTACCTGAAAAAGACGCCAACAAAGCAGAGCCCTATTTCTAAATAAGTCACCCATTCTACTGGCATCCTCCCTTCTGTCGCCAGCATCGTGGGTCCATTTACTCAGCTCAGAAATTAAACATTAACTACAAGGCTGAGCATCTTTACACATTCTAAAGGTAAAAGTTGTCAAAAATTTTAGTAACACTAAGAGGAGCAAGGAGGAGAAGGGTTACACATTGACTGATGGAGAAGTCGGTAATGTTTGTTTCCTAGAAAGTTAAAGCAATTAGGAGCCCTGTCTCCCTCCTCTCCTCCCAGAGGTAAAGCCACAGCTTTCTCAGCTCTCCGGGCCCCATTCTGCTCCCCTGACAGAGCAGTGCCACTGAGGGCAGCAATAAGTGGCTATTTGTAACCATGCAGATGTCTTCCTAACATGAACACTCCTTTAGTTGCTTCAAAATGCCATAAGCTTTTGCTTAAGTAAAATCAAACTTTCATGACGAGTCTTCAAGAGCCATTTATATACAAAATATCAAATTAACATTTTCCCTTATTAGCTGGTGCTTTTCCTATTTTCTCCTTCCAAAAACAACTGAAGAGAAAAAAAAGCAATACAGCCATCTCAAAAGCTAGATTACACAATCCTCACACAGGCAAAGCTCTCATAAAACTCAAAGCTGTGTTTCTCCTCCTAAAACTTTTGAACCTACTCTTGCATTGCAACCATTCTTCACCTCTGAGCTAAACAGCTGGAGATATGGTCTGCAGTGGTTAAGGGGGCACGTACACATACACTTAACACTCACTGGCCTACTGGTCTGCTATCTGGGCCTTCACAACTCAGTTAGCCTCTATGTTATTAGCAGGTAGTACAGATATTAGAGATCTCTCTGAAACACAAGCTGGTGAGAGAATATTGTAAATTTTGTTTAGTATGGCATAAATATCAATAATCAGCAGAAATAGATAACCTCAGACGTTCTTTCATTCAATTATTCTGTGAGTTCTGATGACAAGCTTGTTTCTGATTTTTCCAACCTTTATTCTCTGTGCTGATAAGAAATTTGTTTGAGACATCTCTTATAGTAACTTCGGTCTCTCCTAAGTATGATTAAAAACACAAAAGCCTAACA